AAGAGGACGTCATGTCCGCATATGTTGTCCCCGTCATACCAGTACATAGCATGGCAAATTGTACGCACAGCAGATCACGTTCATCTCAGTTAGTTTAAAATTTAGAATGAATTGGCCTTTTATAAAAATTAAAGGCAACATCTAGGGCACCTCATTGGCTTTTTATTATATTTTAATTTTAAAGCAAGTTTTGAGTATTTTTAGATATACAAACAATTTGCAATTTTAAAATATTCGCTTTAAAATTAAAATATAATAAAAAGCCAATGAAATGTGCTATATAATAATATTGCCTTTAATTTTTGTAGTAGGTCAATTCACTCTAAATTTTAAATTAACGGAGATAAATTTAATCTGCTGAGCATAAAATTTGTTATGCTACGCACTTGTATGACAATGACAACACATTCGGGTATGGCGTCCCCTTAATATATAATATATAGTTGAGGATTTTAAGTGTACCAAGTCACTGTGAAGGTTGATGTAAATTGAAATTCTACTGCTAATGATTTTGATATGTCAGAACTTTCTTATTCTGTCCATGGTTATTATATTCTTATGCGTCTAGGCATAAAATCAATAACAATAATTTTTTTGGTTAATTAGTATTTCATCTTGATCTCATTTATTTTATTGATTTTGTATTTGTGTTTGCTTAAGAATTGTTAATACAATTTTATGATCATTTTTAAGAACATCAGTACTTGGAAAATGCTTTTATTTCTATTAAAGAATTTTGAATAGTTATTTGGGCATTATTTAAATCCGGACTCTAATTAATTAATTATTTTAAATAGACAATGGCATTCAAATATTTTGAAGATGTCTTTGTCTATCAAATTGAATATCAAATCCGATTATTTATAAATGTTATGCAAATATTTCAAGTCTTGCAAATAATATAATTTTGAATAAGGTACATCAAAATAAATGATATTATTTAACCTTGTTTAAATATCTAACTTTATTCAAATAATTTTACACGATTACCTACCTACATAATATAAAATAATATGTTTTTTTTAAATATTCTCTGCCAAATTTTGAACTTATAATTGGTAAAAAATGTATGTTGTAAATTCATACCAATTTTTTTATATTTATTCTTCATTATAATCAGTTGACGTATTGTGATATCATGACATATTATTGATGTTATTATTCTTCTTTTTTAGTATTGACAAATACGTAGGTATATAGTGTATATGTATATTTTTCTAATGAAATTGGCCACTTAGGTATTTTAGGCAGTCCTTAAGTCTCTGTGTAGTGTGTAACATGACGTGTAGGAAATTGTTGGGTGAACTTATGATAATTTGAAAAATAAATTTAACATACCTTAGTAATTATATTAATATAATATTATCATTATGAAAACTCATTGGAGCTGATTCGTTTGCTACCTTAATAAAATAAGTTTTTTGTGTCACTAAAAAAAAAAAAACAAAAAAATCATTGCGTAAAACAGGCGATACATAAATGTTTCAATTTCCCGTAATTTTTATTAGTTTATCCCGATATAAATGTTTTATAATATTGACGTCCTTTAGTATCAGTGGCGTAACTTGGAGTTAATCCTGGGGAGGGGGGCAAGCAGTAGTAAAACTAAAAATGCATATATATATATAACTAATCTTAGTTCGCATTGTGCTATTGTGGTAATAACTAATAACCCGCCATGCCATCACTGTCATCTATCTGCAATTCCTCGTATTACGATATGAAGGCGCTCGGTTTATAATGATACTATTAATAAATAATAATCTTAGGCACTCAAAAAGTCAAAACGATAAATCTATTATTATTAATTATTGAACAATCCATTATGCTGTTTAATTTTGCTATGATAAAATAAAAATTGAATTATAAGTTATAAATTTTAAAGGGGGGTAAAACGATACTATTGCACCCTCAATAAAATATCTGGAGTGCCGTTACCCCCTCTTGCCCCCCAGATTACGCCTATGTTAAGTACCAACCAACTAGATCCAATATCGTACGTACCAGAAACCATCTTCATTGTTGAAGTTTAAGCCGTTTAAGGTACTTTTACTAGTTTTACTAATATTAAACGTAATGAGTAATGACTGATGACTAATAAAATTAGGCACAATATAAAATGTCAATGTAAAAATGTACCTATGATATAGGTAGGGTTGGGCAAGATACTCAAAAAAAAGTATCAGGATACGTGCATTAGTGTATCAAGATATTTAGATACATGATACTTTTATATTTCTAATCGAATTTTATTTACTATTAAACTTAAAACGTCTATACATAATTCACTATACTGTCAATATATAAATACTTATAAAGTCATAATTATATTATAATATAATAAGTCAATAGGTACACATTATAAATTTATAAGTTTATGACTAATACAGTAATACATCAGTATACTTATATAATATAAATACACCAAAATTAATAGATTGCATAAAAATTACATCTTAATTTGTACTTATATAGTTCCTAGTTCCTATGTGTATAATTGGTTAGGGCATTAGTGCTTATCTGTATAACTGTAGATACCTATACCCAGTGACGGCCTGGTACTTAAAGGGCCCAGGATGCATTTTTTCAGAAGGGCCACCAACCATATTATTTCATAAAATGATTAAAAATGCTTATAAGTAGTGAAATATTATATTTTTAGTAAAATCGGGGCCCCTCGACATAATTACCGCCGGAGGCCCCGGATGTGTTCGCGGCCTGGCGGCCATGGCCAGGCCGACACTGCGGCTATACCGTATAATAGGCTACGGGCACCTTAATTTTATTTTATGTTTTTCAAATTATCTTACAGCTTTACAAGTTATACAATTGTGTGGTACATTTTTTCGTTATCGTTAATTTCAACTCGATTGCACCTGGACAATTTTTCATAAAAATATAATCCGTGACGATATTATCTGATGACGAAAACTGAAATGTCTTGGCACTATTCAGTACACATTTTTACAAAAGATACAAGATACTGGTATAAAATGTATCATGATACAAGATACAATTGTATCATTGATACTGCCCAACCCTGGATGTAGGTATGTGACTAAATAACTTAATATTATAATCGGATTATCAAAACCTTTTTCATAGTTTTTATAATGGCTCATATGAGCTAAAATTTCAAATATCGATTCAACTAGGTATAGACTATGTGGTCGGCAACTATGGCCAGATGATGTCCCAGACATCATTATGGGGCCAGGACAGCAGATCCTCCCTGATGAAACGTCGAGGAGACTGCGGAAAAGCAAAGGCTTGCATTCGGCTGGATGATAGAGACAATTCTCGAGGAGAAACATACTGCTGAGCAAGATAGGCTGGCAATAGCTGTACGTGTAGGGTAGATACTTAGCAATTATATTCTGTGGGATGGAGGCCGTCTTTTCAGGTTATATTTTATTATTTTCTAGTCACCTACCCAATTTTTATTTATAACAAATATTTTCACCTATTAATCACTGTAGTTCAAGGAAATCAATTATTATAGGCTATATAGATTATGTTATAAATGTATGAACTTACCTGTGAAACYWATTATAGATGCTATAAACGGCTGCCGTGATTCTAAATTGAATATAATATATAAATAATACATTTTCATTAAAAATTTCGCACTAGTAGTTTAATTTCTAAACGTACGAATGTACGATCGATTTTTATGATTTTTACAAAAGCACATTTTAAACAATATTTCCGATGTTTTTGGAGTCTACTAGAAGTTAGTTGATACATTATAAAATTACTTATGTTGTATAAAAAATTTACCTATATTTTACACAGTTTAAATGGGCAACTCGTGTTTCGATATATTTTACATCGTCGTGCGGTTATTTTTTTTTACATAACTCGCACCACCACCGTGGCGCTAGAAAAGCTCGTTCTTCGAGTGTGCTAAATTCTCGGTTTCTAAACGTATTTACATGTACACCGCAATAATAGCTATTTAATTCCATATTCAATTAAAAAAATATTAGGTATAGGCATTAACCTTTATATTTTAGTTGGTACCTATGTTTGTATATTGGCTACGAYTGAATCTGTATWAACTATATACGCATCACTCATGTTTTGATATATTTTTGTGTATGTAGGCTTGTATGAATTCTCTTTGAGGCTAGAACTCTGCGGTTATAAAACCAACTGAGACTAAACGGCATGATTAGCACCTCCATGACCTACAGGCCAACAAATCCACCCAAAAAAATGTAACAGATGCAGTACATGAAAACGTTCTGGTGCACTCGAAAACGTACACCTATGAATTAGTATGCCGTCATAAATTATGATCTAATAATGACCGCGATTGTGCTGAGAGCTGTTAAAGCGTTGCGTTCAATTTACAATCAACTGATTACAATATACACTAATATAATTTTTAAATTTTATTGACCAACAACCGATGCTGTCTGTTACTAGTTATTATGCTCTAAGAGTTAATGTAGTTGTATCATTGAGTAAAATAAAATATAGTACTCTGGTACTCTCACGGTCTATAATTAGGTACCTACTCTATGGATATGACGGTTATGATCTCACCTCTCAGAAATCTTGTCTTATGTAGTAAGTTATGCTCATAATTTATCGGTTCTATCTTCTATCAAGTTTCACATCAATTRAGCTTGACTAATAGCTATATAGTGTAATACCATGATGGCATGAAAAAAATATTTGTCATGACTTCATGAACAATTCAGCATTACAACATTACAGGCTGGACTCGCTAGAGGCTAGACGGATAGGGCAATATGCATAAACGTCAAACGACATGAGCCAGAAATAAAGCCATAAAATGTCGTTTCTCTTATCATGATAACAGTTGCATTCTTATCATTGCCCTAAGTATTTTTCTCGGAATCTACTATCTAATATCTATTGAATAAAGATTGTCCTGTGGCAATTATTAAATAATAAATGTTATAACGTTGGACGTCGGTCACCAATTATTACCATAAGTATATAAATAATAAATAATATAATGATTCATTCCTAATCGACTACCAATTAATTGATTATAATTATTAGGAAAATTTCATTCTCAATTATTATTTTTCTATGTCAATGTGATACTTTTCAGTTGTTGTTTCGGTAAAAAAAGGCTGTATTTCAATTATATCTTATGGAGGTAAGTGTTGCATAATACATATTAGACTTTTTTACGATGCTATTTTATATCTCAACATTTTATAGGACAAATTACCATCCAAGGAAACTCATTTGTGGACTTTGAGCGATTTTATTGAACGGCGCAAAGAATGGGATCAAGGAGATGAAGCACGATTAGCGGAATACCTTCAACAACTGTCTATTGTAAGTGTAACTCAAAATAGTATTATATTTATTATTATTTCATACAATTGTGTAATATTTGTACCCATGTATAGTCACTGTTATTCTTATTGTTTATTCTTTGTCAAACTAACTTGCAAATAACAGTAAATTCTACTCATTTTTAAGTCTTTGTATATTTAAAATTTAAAATTTACCTTTTTGTATCGTACTTATTTTATAATAGGTACTAGTAATGATTTATACTTATACATTATATTATTTTTTAATTGATAATAATTTCAATATTTTTAGAAAATAACTCAAGGTGCTAAGAATACATTAAACGAATTGGATGATTTAGTAGCCAGTATAGATGACACTGCTGTTCAAATAGCAAACATTAATAATGAATTTCAGTTATTAGCAGACAAACAGTTTATAGAAAACAAAGTACAAGAAGAAGATGAGACAGTGCAAACTAAAGCAGAAGTAAATATAATACATATATTAACAATTATTTTTTTTAGAAAAAAATGAGAATCACATTTAAATTATTATGTTTAATATTTATTTATATATACATATATATATATTTTAGAAGCCAGTAGTACGAGAAATCAATGAAGCTGATACATTCATAAATAATATAAAAGAAGCACTTAAAAATAGCTTTAAAGCTATTGATAATCATTTTGAGAAAATTACTGTGATAGTTAGTGATTCTGATGATTCTGATGATGAACTAAAGTTAGAAATATTTAAAATCATTATTTTGTGTTAGGCTATAACGTTTTTATTTATGTTTTTGTGATAGACATGAAGAAACTGTTTTAAGACCAAGGATATTTTACAAAAAATTAAATCTTCCTTCACTAAGTGGTAACACACTATCTGATATTGTTGTAGATAACGTCATGTTGTCAGATTCAGATTCTGATGTTGAGCGACCTACAAATACATTTAAAGATCAGGTAACATTAGTTCTTCAAATTAATCAATTGTATATTCATAAAATCAGTTAATACTTTTTTCTCTAAGAGAATATTAGTATGCAAAATACACAAAATAAAAATAGTTGTTTGTCTGCATCATTATAACATATAATAACTAATAACCAATGAACAAATGAGGTGGAGACTAGTGGAATGAGTAAACTATACGAGGCAACCCTACAATTGTATGCGTGAAGTGATTATATTCTCTCAGTGAGCAAATCATGCTATAGATAACTGATAATTAAAAATACATTTTTTATAGACATCATCTAGATTTAAATTATTTATTTAATCACATATAAAAATTTAAAACAATGTAATAGAAGTTTAGTGTGTAAAGTTTAAATTATTTTTTAATTGTTTAGGAATCTTTGTCTAGCAATGATGCATCTGAAGAAAACATCTATGATATTAGTGAATCAAAAAAAACATATGAACCTATTCCTGAATCAGTAGAAACCAATAATGTTATTTTTGAATCGGAAAATTCTATACCTAAAAATATTCCCTCTTACGCACATTATGATGAAGGTAATATACAGATATTAATATTATAATTTATGTGTTAATTTTTTATCGTTTTGTCTTAAAATAATAATAATATTTATAAAAAGCATTTTTGATTATTTAGTATAACACTATAACATACTAAACAATTTGCATATAATTTTGCACTAAACTTTTATAAACATATTTTTATACTAAATTGTTTTAGATGATTTGTTTACTCCTCCACCTTTAATTAATGATGATGATGATGAAAATTTGGAGGATGAATATAATATATTTGGTAATGGTAGTAGTAAAGTGTTTGGTGAAAATAACTTATGGGATGATATTGATGATGATGACAATGAACCACCTTTATCGATATACTCAGATAAACCACCTCAACAAGAAACTAAATCTAATACTCAAGAAAAGGTTGGACAACCAAGTATACAACAAACTCTAAATGATGAATTGCGAAAACGATTCCAAAAAGGTAATTTATATTATATAGCTGTATTAAATAATTTTAAATTGATTATCTGTTCATTAATTTTAAAATATATTTTATATTTAGATAGTACATCTTCGTCAGACAATGTAAATGTCATATCTAAAATAAAAGTAATTAACTTTATGGAAATTATTGATTTGAAACTTATGAATAATTTGTTTGTTTATTAATTATTAGTTACCCAAAGGAGCTGTTAATATTCTTGGTGGAACTGATGTAAAGCCATACATTTCTGGTACTGCTCAAAACACAAGGTAATGTCAATCARATTATAAATACCTATTTAAATTTTATCATATTTTTTTACGATAAAACCCTATGTAATTATATAAAAATGTCACTATCTTGTGGCATTAATTATGAGTTCACAAGTAAAAAATAAATTTAGTTAGTTAGATTAAGTATTGTAATTTAGTATATTAATTAATATGTGCCCAATAGTTAATAATGCAAATATTTTAAAAATTAATATTTGCAGAACACCAGTAATACCTGAGATGAGTAAAAAAGTAATTGTACCAACCCAGAATGATACTGTACAAGATATCAAAAAAGATTTTAATATTTCAAACAAACTTGTCGACAATTCCAATTCAAATTTAGTTACTGTTGAAAGTAAAGAATTAACAAAAGAAACAAAACCAATGAAAAAACGATCACTCTTTGATCAGGAATCAGATGATGATGACTTGTTTACCAATAAAACAACAATGGCTTTTTCAGCTACAAAACCAGACATTTTAGAATCTAAAGAAAGTTTAATTAAAGATAAAAAATTATCAACAAATATATTTTCAGATGAAGATTCAGATGAAGACTTTATGGATTCAAAACTGAAAACAAAAGGATTAGCTTCGCATTCTATTATTGATAATAATTCTACTAAACCTTTAGACTCTTCGTTTGATGATGATTTATTTAATATTCAATCTATTAATAAGACCATATCAAAAGAAAAATCTGTAATAAGTTCTTCACCAATTCTTGTTGAAGTATCAAATAAATCAAATGAAATAACACATGTATCAAAACCCCCCGTACCAGAAAATATATTAAGAGGGATGTTAAATGAAGAACATATTGACAAATTGGAAAATAATGCAGTAAGTTCTAAAGTGGCTAATACTAAACTTACTGAAAAAAAATTGTTACCAAATAAAAACATATTGAACAGCAATAATATGGAATCTCCAAACAATGACAATATTATGATACAAATTAATCAAAAGTCTCCAATTTTAAAACAGACAAAAAAGTTTAGTAATTTTTTTTCATCAGATGAAGATGAATCGGATGATGATATTTTGTTTAATACTAATGAAACAAATAAAAATAGCATTGTTAAGGATCAACTATTTTCTAATGCAAAGGAATTAGGTCAAAATAAAAATTATGAGCTTCAGAGATCAAAATTAAACTTATTTGATTCTTCTTCTGATGATGATATATTTATTACTAATAAACCATCTTCAATTAGTAAAAAAGAATCCATTTTAAATGAAATTAAAAATATAGGTACCTCAAAACAGACTGATGCTCATACCATAATTAATAATATGCCAAACATTGATAAGATAAATCAGACCGGAAATGACATTATTGATAAAAGTAATTCTAAAACTTTTAGTGTATTGTCTGATGATGATGGAGATGAAATTTTTTTGTCTTTTGATAAGAACATTTCTGATGCCTGTATGGATGTATCTAATAATCAAAGTATAAATGATAAAATATTGACAGTTAGTTTGTCATCTGAAGAATTTTTAAGTCCACAAATGGATCAAAAAAATCAAGATATATTTCAGAGTACACCTCCTGATAACTTCAAAAATAATAAGGATCATGAATCATTTAGTCAAAAGGAGATTCATATGCCCAAAAATGAAAATACATTCCAGAGCAATAAAAGCTCTATGTTTTCAAGTAGCGACGATGAACAATTCATTTTTAGTCCACAAATTAAAAATGAGAATTCTTTTAAAGAATCTAAAATAATTCCTCCAACTTCAAATCTACCACAAGAAAATTTACTAAATAATAAGAATCAAGAATCATTCAATGAAAATGATATAAAAACTACATCATTGCCCATTTCTTCAGAAAATACAAATCAGGATATCAAAAATTCTATAATTTCAAATAGTGATGATAATATCCCAATTTCTTTTAATTCAGATGTTCAAAATGTGAATACTATTGACGAAATTGAAGTGATTTGTCCACCATCAGACTTGTCTCTTAAGGATTCTATTGATGGCCCTATTTTCAGTTCACCAAATTCAAAGAATGAAACTTCTAAAAAAATTCCAGGTAAAGCTAATCTTAATTATTATATTTTTAAATATTACCATATAATTGATCATAAAAACAAATAAAATGGGTATTGCAGAGTAAATCTTACAAGATAGAAAATAAGTCTTATAATTTGAAACAGTATACTTAGTTGAAATTACTACCTATTAAGTTCAATAATTGTGTTTGAATTAGGATTTTGGAAATTACCTATAAGTAAGCTGATGTGTATATTTATTGTCATAAAATCTCTTCAAGCGTATATAACATTTTTTTTTTTTAAATTAATAATGAAAATTGACAAAAAAAAGGAGGATAGATAAGATAAGTCTGGACAGATAATGAAGCAGGTACATCGTTACTTAAGATTATAATAAATATTGGATTCATAAAACAATTGTATATTATCATAAAAATTAATTGATATATTTTATTATTTATCAAATCCAATTGTTTAGAGAATTAGTGAAAAAATATAGAACTATAAGAGGATACTCAAAAGATAATGCTAATAACTAAAATCATGTAACCATGATAGGATTTTTTATAAGGTAAAGAAAGAGAAGATAAAATGTAAATATATTATATTCATAATATAAGTTGTGTATTGAAAAATATTTTTTTTAAATTCATTTTTCTTAGCTTATGAGAAAAGTAGAATATAAAATACTTTTAAACTAAACTAGTATTGTTTAATTATTAATAAAAATTGGATTTTATATTTTTTTTTAGGAAAATTAAGTAAAAATGCTGGTGCCTTTATAAATATTGCTAGTTTACTTCCTAATTCTAAAATTCCGTTGAAAATATCAAATATTGCTCAATCGGTTTCATTAGATGAAAAGAATGATGATACGTTACCAACTAATGGAACAAAGCTTTTTAGTGCTGAAAAAGTAAACAATTTTTTTTTCTAAATAAGCAAAACAAAAATGTATTTATGTTTTTGTTTGATAATTTGCCGTAGGAAAGAGTCAGAATTCAAGTAAAAAGACGTCCACAAAGTCGAAAAGCTAGGATAGCTGCAGCTCGAATGTCATCTATAGATATTGGTTCTGAAACAGACTTTCAGGAGTCATCTCGTTTATTTGTTTCAACATCTAATTTAGTTGACTATCAATCTAGTCCAATACTAAATGATAATATTACAGATACTGATTCTTCTAATGAAGTTAAAAAAAATATTCTAGAACCATTTAACACAAAATCATTTGTGGATAATGATTATAAAATTTATGAAAATTCTGAAAAAACAAAAACAAAAACTGAGCTTGAAAAAAAATCTTTTTCTGATTTATTTGATTATGATTCAGATCCACTTGAGTCATTTCAACAAGAATTTGACTCAATAGATAGTAATAACACCAAAAAATTTACACCGGATGAACAACTATTAGAATCTAATAAATCAATACAGGAACAAAACCTAGAAATTGAACCAGTGCATGAAAAACTTCTAGAGAATAAATCAATAAAAGAAATACAACCAGAAGTTTTATCAACTAGTAAAAAACTTCCAAAAATTGACCCAATAAGTGAAATACAAGTTAAAACATGTAATGTAGAAAATTTACAAGAAAATAAATCTAAATCTCCGACTTCAAATAATTTATTACCACAGAAATACAATTCATTATTTGATGATGATGATGATGATGATGATATATTCTCTCAAAAATCTGGGAAAGTAAATAAGCCAACTTCAAATATATTTGATAGTGATGATGAATTTGAATTTAACTCAAAGTTTGTAAAAAAGAAATCTGATAAAACTAAGTCAATATTTGATGATGATAGTGATGATGATCTATTTAATACTTCCAGCAAACCTTCAGGAAGTAATTTAACTTCTAAAAAACCAATTGGTTAGTATAAAATATTACTGTTAATTTATTGTCTAAATAATTTTAGTTACCCCTCCTTAATGTGTTATATATTTTACCAAATATACTGTTTAAACATTTTTCTCATATTTTTCTTTAGATAAATTAAGTCAGCAACAAAATAGATCTGTTGGTGATGGATATGTAAAACTTGCTGCCGAAAGTGTTGCTATTAATCCGTTAGAATCTAAGGAAAACTGAATATATTTGTAAAATTTTTATATTGGAATTTATGTGATATATATTATGCATGGTAAAAACTTTCCTTAATATTTGTACTTTTGGAACAACAAAAAACATAAATTTAAATATTTTTTTTAACAATCTGAATATTTGATGAAGAGCTTTATTTAATTTTCCCACACACTGTTACTTTTGTTAATAATAATTCATAGTTTTGTTATCCAATTCATAATTTTGTTATCCATGCTTTTATTATAATTTAATTAATTCAATTTGATTTGCCATTATTATATGTTTAATATTATATTATTATTATTACTATTACTATTATTACTATTATATGGGTTGTTAATTGTTATGTTATAATTTTGTTTCATCATTTACTGCAACAAACAATCAAAGATTAATGGATTATGGAAAGGTATTATGCCAACACTAGATATAGTATAATTTCACAGTATGTGGTCTGTGTTCCGAATCGCGGAAAAAAGCCCAAAGAAAAAAATTATAACAAATATAGTCAATTTTATATACTGATTACGGGTACTCAAATACAAAAGTAGTAGGTACATGATATAGTCATATATTAATAATAATAGTCACAGAAGGACAGTCGACTGAATTCATTGACAACGGGTCCATAAATGTATCCATTATCCTAGTATCAAATCCCTTATATTATAAGCTATAAAAGTAAACTTGAGCAACAAATAAGTTCATGTAATTTCAATGGAACGAAGAATAATGATGATAATTATTTTGTTGTAATCAAATTTACATAATATTTATATTATCTATATACCAGGTGATTTTTTTATCTTAAGTTATTCTTTAACATTTAATATTTTATTTAAAACTTTAATATTTCTAACAAAACGTTTGTCCACTACAACTCCGGTTGTCTAAACTTTAAATACTTAGAACTCATTAACTATTAACCCTATTTAGAATATGAA